CATAATTACATACATACCTACCTACATATATACATATGCAGATACACGTGTAGGTATATACACACTCTCCATCGGATTGTTGATCGTCTAATCACTCCCGCTGTTGCCGTCTTCTCTTTTTCTACATTACATGCTCTTCTTCTTCTTCTTGTAATCGGACGAGGACCCTGGACCGCACGTAAGGGTTCCTTTCAATGCTTTCCTTACATACATCCATAGAAAGGTAAGTGTTGCTGGGTCCTTGTTATGATTTCCCTATCATAACTCCTTAAAACGGTAGGTTGTTTAGGGTCCTTGTTATGATTTCCTCATATAAAATCCTTAAAAGAAAGTAAGGCTAGGGTTTAGGGTTTAGGGTAAACCCAAGCCCTAATCCGTAGAAGGAAGGCTCTCGGCCTCCGCCACGGAGTCCGCAAGTTCTGAGCCATCCTTGGGCTGCTCCAGCAGAAGGAAGGCAGGCCTCGTGCACAAAGCAGTGGTTTAGGGTTTAAGGATTATAGGGTTTCGGTTTAGGGTTTAGGGCTTAGGGTTTGGGGTAAAGGGTGTCTTCTGGCGCAGTGGCTGGTACGCCATGCTAGGATGGCGCCACCTCACACAAGGGTTTGTGGGTGGCGGCATATTAGTCGTCAAGCGACCTTCCTTGCATGTGTCACAGAACTCGGTGAAGCCGGAAGCTCTCTTAAACCCGCCCGCGGTGATGTTATCACAGGCTACCACCCGAACCATTTCCTGTTAGGGTTTCGGGCTTCCGCCCTCAATTCCCACACCCACAGAAACTAGGGGCACCAGAGCTGCAGGGGATAGAGGGGGGGGCCCGGGTCCCCGGAAGCCGCCCGCCAGGGAGGGCCTGGACCTTGCTGGGATACCTATTTTTAGGGGCAGAGAAAAGGGTTTAGGGTTTAGGGTTCAGAATCGTTTTAAATTGAAAACAAATCACGCAGAGAAAAGGGTTTAGAGTTTAGGGTTCAAGGCGAAATTCAAGGCAATCGGGCTGTTTTCGACCATTCTCCGTAGTCTCCGCACCCAGTGTTTGGCCCAACACGGGTGCAAAGGCTGCCGGGCATCTTCAGTGTCGGGGCACCCAGTTATGAGTTGGAACGACACCAGGGGGCCGATTGGGAATTTAGGGTTTAGGTGTTAGGTTTGTTAAAGTTGAGTTGACTTTTACGTCTGCCTGCAGTCGGCTGTCAACTACATCCATAAAGGCCCTCACATCTCCACGATCATCACGGCAGGGAAACACCACGGTGTAAGTCTTTTTTTAAAAGGTGCAATGGCTCTTTCTCCGCAGGCATGCAGGTCCCAAGGCCTCCCTCAATGAGGCGGTGTAAGGTTTAGGGTTTAGGGGGTGTAGGGCTTAGGGTTTAGGATGTAGGTTTAGGGTAAAGACGAGGCGGATTTCTGGCAAACTTCGTGCCCTGTCATCTAGAGCCTAAGTTGTGAGTTTGCGGGCTTGGGGCTTCACCGCGCAGTTTGGGCGAAATGCATTGGCCGGGTGACGCTCAAGGGATTGCGATCTACAGTTTCGCTCAGAAAAATTGAACTTGGGAGGTTTGGGGGGGATCAATGAACCCGAAACCCGAAACCCACCACAATCATGATATGCACCCCGCAGCCAAGCCTGTCCGGATCGAGATCCAAGCGTTCGATGTTCGGCATCGCGGCTCAATGGGGAACTGTCCAGTTCTTTCGGGAAGGAAGACGGGGGATCATTATAAGGGGCTAGGGTAGCTTTAGTTGTCTTCAAAGTGCGATGGGGCGCTCTCTCTCCGCTTCGGGGTTGGGGTCTAGGTCCTAAGAAGCTGCAGGAACTCGGGGATGGAGTTTAGGGTATAGTAGGGTTTAGGGCATAAGGTTTAGGATTTAGGGCGTTCGCAAGCACTCAAAGTGTCTGTAGACTGCGCAGTCCTCCTGCCTTTGTCTCTGAATCTGCCGGTGCCGGGTAGGCTTTGGCGCTGAGCCCAAACATCACGTGGCATGATGTGCAGAACCGACCAAAGCCTAACCTCCTAAACTTTAAACCTGGAATCCTAAAACCCTACATGCTTAGTAAACCGTGCTCCACGAAGTCATACCGGTCCACCCTTCCCTTCGACTTGCTCGTAGAGTGTTTCGGGGTTGGAGCTTGGAGTTTAAGGATCCGGGTTCAGTACTCTAGTTCTCAAGCATTCACTCCCGGATCTTCAACCCTCACCCAAGTGCCGGTTCAGGGTCGAGGGTTCACGGTTTAGGGTTTGGGAAAGGTCATCTACACCCTACTCGACTCTAAATCTTAAACCGTGAACCCTAGACCCTAAACCCTGGATGCTACACCCTAAACTCCTAAACTCCTAAACCGTATGCAGAGGTGCTCTTTCTCCGCGCTCAACCTGTAGCCAGAAACCCAGCTCTCACTTTCCGAAACTCGCCCCTGCAGGTGCAGCGATGCGTGTCGCAAGGCGTGACGAATCCTGTGCGGTTCCGCAACTTGGATCGCGAATACTTTGCACAAAATATCCGCATTGATGCCGAAATACACACTGGTGACAACTACCACCACCGACCACCACAACGTATGAGTAACTACTGCACACCACGCTGCCGCAAGGGCTGCCGATGTTACTGCTACTGCTACAGCAAGGACTCCGCTACACAGCCCGTTCCAAGCATTGCTGCATATCTGCCCTCGGATATTGCGCGAGCATTGCCCAGGACCCCTTGGACCGCGGGCTTACTCCTGGGTTGAGGCTTCTGGCATTCAATGCTTAGGGCCTAGGCTGTTGACCAGAATCCTTGAAAGAAAACATTATTACAAAGAGGGTCCATACACACCACCACTACGATCACGCTTAGAATGGTGTTTTGGGGATCTAACTGCATAATCGTACTTTTTGGACCTTCTGGGCTACTGTCAGACGTGAGAATCCCCGCCTTACGCATTGAGACCCCAACCTTCGCTCCAAGGCATGGCCACTGGGTGCTTTAAAGCGGGAGGGGCTTAGGGTTTAGGATTCTTTTAAGGGATCTATGAGGGTACTGTAGGGGTTTGTTTAGGGTCTATAAGGTTTAGGGTCTAGAGGGTTTACAGTAGAAGCCCAAAAGTTAGAAACCCAATAGCCTCAATCCTTAAGAGTAATGTATAGGGAATCCCAGCACTATTTGGCCCCAATCCGGTTTCCAACTTTATGGGGTTGACTGTAGGGTGAACAGACTCTTATCCCCCACCAGGCCGGTAAAGCCGAAAGCCCACTCCCGGAAAAAAGAAACCTTCCCGTAAGGAGGGAGTTTAGGCTTCAGGGTTTAGCGTAATTAAACCCTGAACCCCAAAATCACCTGAGCCATGTCGCGATCGAGGGTGGGCAGTATAAACAGAGAGCTGGGGTTCGCTGGAGACTTAAATTCTGCTCTGGTTCCTGTTGCCTCCCGCTGCCAAACACATAGCCCGTGCTGCCATCTCCAATGCTGGAGTTTGGGGGCGATGCCATAGACCCTAGACCCTAAACCCCTAAACCCTAAAACCCTAAAGCCTAAACCTCTAAACCATAAACCCTAAACCCCTAACCCTATGGAAGCCGAAGAAAGGGTGTGTGACGTAGTTGCGATCTGCCTCTGTTGCGAGTACACGGGATCCCTTCTAAAGCTTGAAGTCCACTCCACCGTGCAGAACCCTTGAGCCATAAAGGTTGAGGGTTTGGGACTCGCTTAGGAACCCTATTAACCCTGCACGCAGACGGGGCGAGGATCCATGCCCCCCTGTCTACGGGAAGCTAGAATCAGGAGAGATGCCACATGCATAGGGATTGCAGAGGATAGTTCTGCGAGAATTCGAACTTAAGAGCTCTCGGATATAGTCTTGGGGTTCGCGGTCGAATGCACGTCAAACAGCCAAAGCTTGAATGATTGAAACCAAAATTCAGAAATCGATCGGTACTTGAGCTCAAGGTCGAAAATCAAACTCCAACAAGCAAGGTTTGGGCTTTGAGGTGTCGGATGGGGTGGAGGGCATCGGACCTGCAGCTGAGAGTGTACCAGGGCCCTAAACCTAACATAACGAGCACAGCCACCGGCTGACATATGCCGGATTCGATGCCTTGGACTCTTTGCCAAGATGTAACCCGAACGGACATTGCCGCGGAAAGAGCGCTTGACCATTGGCGCAGGGCTGCTGGATTTGAGATATGTGCTATGTTGGGAAGATAGCTTTGCTGGCAGAACAACTACTGCAAGACCTTATACCTGCTGGCAACGAAATAACAGTGGCGGAAGTGGTAGGAGTAGCGGCAGAGCAGTGGTAGTCGTAGCCGTGGCCCTCGTCTTGTCCTTGTCGTAGCAGTAGCAGTAGTAGCAGTAGCAGTCGCAGTAGCAGGAGTAGCAGCGGCAGCAGTAGCAGTAGCAGCAGCAGTAGCGGTAGCAGTAGCAGTAGCAGTAGCAGTAGCAGTAGCAGTAGCAGTAGCAGTAGCAGCAGCAGCAGTAGCAGTAGCAGTAGCAGTAGCAGTAGCAGTCAGTCGCAGCAGCAGGAGCAGCGGTAGCAGTAGCAGTAGCAGTAGCAGTAGCAGTAGCAGTAGCATTAGCATTAGCAGTAGCAGTAGCAGTAGCAGTTCAGTAGCAGTAGCAGTAGCAGTAGCAGTAAATAGCAGGGGCAGTAGCAGCAGCAAAACCACTAGCAGCAGGAGTAGGAGTAGTCCTCGTCGCCGTCTGGGTGTTTCACGCTTCGAGTACATGTGGCCTCTGTGGAGGTTTGGGTATGCCTTTGCGCAGAAGGGTCAAGCGGCATCAAGATGTCTTCATGGTCTTCTACAGTAGGCTTGGGATCTTGCGTTTGGGAAGTCGAGACATGTCTCTTGAACACAGCCCATCACATGAGACATAATCACCATGCAAATTGAACTCCAAAGATCTCGGCGGCCATTCAAAGTCTCAAAGAACCCCAAGCCCACGCGATCATCCGCTACTCTTACCACCAAAATAACACCCCGATTCAGAGAAACCTCCGAGACGACGAGTACGGCTGACCACTGGTTTTAGGGCTCCTCTGCCGAGGGGCCCTCCAGTGATACCGCCTGAGGTCACCCGTCAGTTGGGGCACAGGAAGTAGTCCCTATATTGGTACTTTGGGCCCTAAGTATATACTATTTGGGTACATGGACCCTCAGGGACAGGGCTTTGGAACATCTTCGCCGTCTAGTTTTAGAAAGTTGCAAACGTCATTGGCGCTCGTCGGTAGTCTGGGCCCCAGTTTGAGGTTGGTCCACTTGTACCTGGCTAACCGGAAGTCCTTAAGCCGTCAAGCACCTGAGAGGCTACGGTTTAGGGTTTAGAGTTTAGGGATTGCTAGGCGCCGCGCCAACTCCGCCTCTTCGCCCTTGGAGATCGCCTCTCCGAGCCATCAGCAACGCTCCGGTTTGGAGTTTAGGAGTTTAGGGTTTGGGAGTGTAAGGAGCTTAGGGTTTGGGAGTTTAGGGTTTAGGAAACCCCAAAGCCCTGACACCCTAAAACTCCAATCTCTAAAACCCTGAAATTTCATACTCTTAAACCCCAAACCTTAGAATGCCCCATCCTATACTCCTGGTTCGGATTTAGGAATCCAGGGTTGCATGTTATAGCTTAATGTCAAAACATACTGTTTTGACTGTTTTGTAAGCTCTTATTGTAAGCCCTAATATTGAATGTACATATAGGGACCCTACAACAAAAAAAGTGTGGTTCTGGTGGGTTAAGGCAGGGCTTAATGAACAACGGTTGAATCAGTTGAAGGGAACCGAACAACCTGAGGCAGTCCTATTGCCCTGAACACAAAACTCGGTCCCTCGAACCCCATGCCCATGCGACTGCCGCACAGCCAGTGGCCCAGATATGAACCCCAAACAGAAGGATCTTTGCAACGACAACTGCAAAGAAAGCCGAAACCCGAACGCTCCCCGCACCTCAGAGGTTACAGGCGAAACCCTGCAAAAATACCCGTCGAGGCACTGCCAGAGGGTTTAGGGTTTAGGTTTAGGGTTTAGGGTCTTTGCGCTGCGATCCTTCCTGGGTGTTCAGCTCTCATTAGAAAACACCACAACCGCCAACACCTAAGCCGTAAAAATCTAATCCCGAAACCCGGGATTCTAAACCGTGAGCCCCAAATATTGAATCGCTTAAACACTCAAGGCACCGCCTCCAGAAAGTCTTTGACAACCCCTACAGTATCCCTCATAGTATCTCCTGCATAAACCCTGATAGTGCTACCCATATAGTATCCCATAACCCTAAACCCTAAACCCTCAGTACTAAACCCTAGACCCTAAACCCTAACCCTGGGCCCTAAACCCGAAACCCTAACCCCAAACCCCTTATCCTTAAACCCTAGCGGCCTCCAGGAAGGCTGCGAATTTCGGGTTGATCCTCTCCTTTGTCCACTCAAGCGTCGTCTTGGTCCTCCGAAGCAGAGGATCTACGGCTCAAAGCGTTAGGGTGCGGCCTAAGGCTCTAGGGTTAGGGTTTAGGGGTTTAGGGTTTTAGGGTTCAGGGGTTTAGGGTTTAGGGTTGAGGGCTCTGGGTTCATGCTTCCTTTTTGTTGAATGCCTTCCCCTGAGGGTCCAAGTACCTGATTATCATATACTCTCCAAAATACTAACCTACATAACTACTATCCTAAACCCGAGTACCTAATTATTGGGTCCTTTGGACCCTTAGGGTTCTTCCGTCAGCCCAAAAGTTAAAGATAAGGTAAACAGAAGGCTCATTGAAAATTCGGCCTAATCGCATACCTGCGGGAAGGAAAACTGCAAGACAACCGAACCCCAACCATCACAGGTTGGCGATGCAGTACGGACCGTGGCCAAAGAAGAACAATTAGCACGTGCCAGCGACCCTAAGCACATGAAAACAGCCTTCGTCAAACCCTAGCTTTCAGCGGACTACGTCCAAAGTCAGGTGGTTGTAGTTTTGAGGGCTCTTTTCCAACTGCATTACAACGGGAATTTCTTACCACCCTTTATCAATCCTGAAGCCTAAACCCTCTTTGTTGTGTTTCGATCTTTAGGATTTCGTCACTGGCATTGAAGCACAACCCTAAAGCATGACTCAACCAGAAAGCCTAAGCCCAGAACCCTACACCGCAACCCGAAAGCAAACAACGCCTCATCCCAAAAATCATAGCGACCCTTAGGGGAGTAGGGAGAGTGGGGTAGGGGGCCTTAATGCCCATAGTAAGGACCCAGTAAGGCCCATTTAAGGAAGTATGGTCCCCCCCCTCCCCCTTGCCCCCCTAGGGGTCCCTCTTGAAGGCTGAAGAAACATGACTTATCGAAATCCTAAACCCTAAACCCTAAACCCCTCTTGAAACATGACTTAACGAAACCCTGTTTATCGCAGTCGGGTCCCGTTTGGGTCCGAGGGCAAGTTCACGTCAGCTTTGTGCTCCAGCAGCAAGCGACACTTCCTGCGAAAGAAGTTGGAGGACTTTGGGGCTTAGGGTGTGGGACAGGGTTTGGGGTTTAGGGTAGAGTTTAAAGTTTCGGGTCTAGGATTTGTTAAATTTTGCAATGAAAACCACAAACCATCAAAAGAAGGTGACAAAGGCATAAACAAAGCCCAAAACCAAACACCCCAAGACCTAACCTAAAGCCCCAATTCCCATAACCCCGAACCACGAAGCCCTACCCGGAAGCCCTAAATCCTAAGAATGCTCCCTAATCGAAAACCCTTCGGCTTCCCTGCAGCTGGAATAAGCTACCTTTTTACGGACATATGAACGCGAGAAGAAAGCAAGCTCTGTGGGCTCGGGGAAGACCCTATCATCTGGGATCTTCAATAGGGACTGCCTACATCACGTAAAACAATTATCTTCAAGATCGAACCCGAATGACTTGCAAATCATTCCGAGCTCACGCTAGTCTGGGCTACAGGCAAACGAGCCCGATGGAACCCACACCAGCAACCCCGCAACCCTAAACCCTACACCCTAAACCCTGAACTTAAACCCTAAACCCTAAAACCTAACCTCTAAACCCCCAAAGCCCTAAAGCCCTAAACCCTAAACCCGACACCCTAAACCCTGAACTTAAACCCTAAACCCTGAAACCTATCCCTTAAACCCCCAAAGCCCTAAAGCCTAAAGCCCTAAACCCCCAAAGCCCTAAAGCCCTAAAGCCCAAAACCCTGCTTGGAAGGGCAGGGGTCTTAGTAAGTAGGTTATAAGTAGAGTTATAAGTACCCTAAATGGAGTTACCCCAATTATAACCCTACTTGTAACCTACTTACTAAGTCCCCTGCCCCTCCAAGTAAACCCTATCCCGAACTGCTGGCCTCTCTGCTCCGCGCATGTTCAGGGCCGACACCATCAGGGCATTCTGGCCTGGACCGATCGGTGTCTCGAATTCCCGAAACCCTAAAACCCTAAAACCCTACAACCCTACAACCCTAAACCCTAAAACTCTAAACCCAAAAATCCCAAAACCCTACGTAAAACCCCAAAACTCTGAGCCCTGACACCCTGAACTTTAAAATCCTAAAACCCCAAAACCGGAAACAGAAAACTTCAAGTCTCTAAAACCCACACCCTCCAAAACCTAAAACCCCCAAAGCCTAGGTGTAGGAATTTTGGTTTGCAGCGGAGCATGGAGATATAAAGCTTTCAGGGTCCGAGCACGAGCGTGTTGTGTCTCTGTGAGCCTTGCGAAATTTCAGTCTGGCCGAGGGTTTAGGGTTTAGGGGACTGCAGGGTTTGGCGGTCTCTCAGTTGCTGAGTTCATAAGCCCCCGAAAACTCTACACGTTTCGTTTTTCTGATGGGCAGTATTATCCCCAAAAGTGTAAAGTGCATCCACTCAGCTACTAAGGTTTTCTTGATTAGGGTTTAGGGCTTGGGGTGTAGGGCAGAGCATACGCAGGGCTCGATTTCCCAGGGCTGTTTCTACGTTCTCGGGTGTGAAGAGCAGCCGACGTTGCTGCGGTTTCGTGTTTAGGGTTTACGGCTTTATAGGGTAACCGACAGCCTCGGTCCTCTTTTGCGCACTTCAGGTTTAGATCTAAAGGACCCCAGGGTTCATGTCGGAATTGAACAGAGCTTTGCATTTTGCTGCTGCTACGGGGAATACTTCCCCAAATCATAATAGCAATTCCCAATATAGAAGCCCTAGATTCTGCTATATATAGGTACTTTGGACACTTTGGCTCAGAACTGAGGGTTTGTAGTTTCTGCAAGCTTATGAGCTCAGGATGAAGGATTAGCAACTTTTACGTCCAGGAAAATGCAGGACAACCGGGGTGATCCCCGAATCCGTGCACCTGTGACATCTCTGGCGTGGACCTGTGACAAGGAGGGATGTTCAATGAGTTTAGGTGTGTGTTTTTGTTGCGGACTGAAACTTACGAACAATAGGTACACGATTTCAGGATTGAAATTATGGATGGAGTGGAGCAAATCTTCTAGCACCTCAACGCTGCCTGTAGGCTGATCGGTATACGAGAAAGGTAGATCCCTGCTTGTTAACCCTCTGTCCTTGAATAATAGGATCCCAATGCTAATCATTCATCCTTAAGGGAGGTGGGCTCATTATTCCGTGACCTACATTACTTTCGATGATCGAAACCTTGCAGAATCCAGAACCTCTCAGGCAGAAAAATGATGGCAATAGCTCAGAGTACTGAAGGTAACATGCGATTTTGTCCCTGCCGTCCTGAACCCTCTAGGATTTAGGGCATGCCCCTTTTTTAAGGTAGTGCTTAGCTTCAGCTTGACTGCCTGACTCTGCGGCGGCCTATGAGCAGGGTTAAGATTAGGGTATTCCCACTTACCGTGAGGCTCCCTAGGTTTTTTGGGCTTAGGTTTGGGGGTATTTGGGGCTCCGGGTGCTTAAGATAAGGGCTTTTTGAGGCTTAAAAATTCGGGTTTCGGGTTTAGGGTCGCGAGGCCTTGGGGTAATTGGGGCTTGAGGGTGCGTAGGACAAGCCCTATACAAATCTGCTGATGTAGTCCCTTCCCATTCACGACCCAATCATGGCAAATATCCGCGCCACGAGCCTCTGCACCAGCTTCCAAAGCATCCAACATGTCCTGACTCGAGAAGATGGCTATGCCCACCTACCAGGACCCTCCTTGTACCCTCAAATAGGGGTATATGGTCCCAAGTAAGGGGCATCTAGGGTCTAATAGAGGGTAGATGGAGGGTCTAGGTATGGTCTCCATTGTAGTTCCATTTTTTGTTTTAACCCACTGGCTGGCCCAAAACCCAAGGAAATAAAAGTTGAAACTTTCAGAATCGACTATAAGAGCCCCAAAAGTTGAAAAGTTGAGTTTACAGCCAATAAGCCAACTAGATATTAAGGATCCTAAACGGTAACCCCAAAAAGGAACTACAATGGAGACTACAGGCATGCGCCCAGCTGTAAATTTTGAACCGCATGAGCTGGGCGAGCGTGATCCAACTAGGGGTCGAAATAAAATAAAGCAGATATACACGCAACATGCATAGCCTTGTCCTGAGTTTACTATACTGAACTTAGAACCCTAGCAACAATAGTAATTGTAGCTGTTTCTTAGGTATGATAATAGCCAAATTTATTTCTAAGTACCCCTAAGTTTAGTCACCCCTGCAAGATCGCGTAGAAAAAAGCTACATTTGTCGTCCTATAGGCCCATAGGACTCCTGACTCTTGAGAATGCAGCTGCCCATGAAACTTAAATCCAAGGGTAAAAGGAAGGACCCTTAATAAGGACCCCTAGGTTTATACCCTTAATATAGCTATTATGTACCCATTAATATAGCCCATTACAGGGTAGGGGTCCCTATTAGGCGTCCCTCCTTTTCCCCTTTGATTAACGCAACCTCGTACCAAGTTCCTTAACGCGACACGTGAACACTAAGCCACCCGTATCAAGCCCCCCCGGTGGAGGGTGCAGTTGAGTGGCTTCGGAGCATTCCTAGTGCCCTGCCTGCCACAGAGACATGACGGGCACCCCTGTAGCCTGACTATGTTGATGTCTTATGATTATGGTTGGCCCTATGATTCCATATATGGGACCTTGAACAAAGAGCACTACCTGAGACGGCAGTGTTTACTGCCGGAGTTGCAGGGTTTGGATGGCTTAGGCAGGACGTCCAAAACAAGGGTACGTAGTTTTATTGAGGAAGGGGGGTACGGGGTACATTACCCGTAGCGTCCACGCACACATAATATACACTGTGGCTCTAAACTCTAAATAGTGTATAGCGAATACGTTGAGCCCAAAGTATAGACTGTTTGAGTACATGGACCCTAGGGCTATACCTATTCCGGCCCTCTCCATATCAAGTTTCTTTTTTTGAGAGAGAACTGAGCAAAGCTGTACTTCCTAGGGGCTATGATCTACGACACATCTCAGCCAAGTGTTGCCAGGAGCTCTCACCTCCATGCAATCGTATGGCCCAACACTCAACGCCTAACACCAAAACCGGAAACCCCAGAAGAAAACATGGAAGCCTGGAGCCGTCGCTAGGAGAAAGTCGAAGCTTTTCAACACATACGAGATCTGCAGCAAAAACCAGGACTGGACAATGGCATTGTAACCCCAGTTGCGGTACTTATAACTTATAACTGTACTTACTAAGTCGCATGATCCCTAAACCCTAAACCCCTAAACCGGTCTCCAGGAGCTGACTGTCCTGCACAGACTCTGTGCGCTGTGAGGCACAGGCCTCTGCTTTGCAGATTTATAAAGTTAGGGCTAAAACCCTCCGATGAAGGGGTCATAACCCACTATTTTGTAGGGTTTGGGATACAGTTATAGTATAGGGTCTGGCTTATGTTTAGCGTGCAGGGTTAAGGTATCTTAAGGTTAAAAAAACCAGGGATCGTCAAGGAATAGGTTCCGGGTTCTGGGTAGAGGTTTACTTCATGGCTCCATGGACAGGCGTGGTTGGGCAATACAAGTGGGAGTTCCCGAAAACAGGGGAACCTCATATAATACCCTAAATAGTAGGATCCTTATTATAAGGAGCCCTCAAATAAGGTATATACCCTAAACCCTAAACCTTAAATCCTAAACCCCAACAAAAGGTAACCCTAGTTTTCCGGACACTCCCAAAATTTCTCCGGTTAGTTGAGATTGGCTCAGACAGGGGCAGCGCTTCCTTGGGGTTGAGGGGTTTAGGGGTTTAGGGGTTTAGAGGTTTAAGGGTTTAGGGTTTTAGGGGTTAGGGGTTTGGGGTTTAGGGGCGAGCAATGACGCTGTACAGGAATGCACAACTCTTGCAAAGCCACCCAAATCCGCACAACAGCCTGGCAGACCCCTGTATCCCGAAGCCACACGACACCAGCAAGACGAAGGAGGATGAGGATCCACGATGAGACCATTCCCTGTGAAGGGTATGAAGTGGGAGTTTCCAAAATAGGGGACCCTAATCTATATAGTACCCTAAATAGTAGGGTCCTTATTGCAAGGACCCCAAAATGAGGTTACACTCGGGCGCCCGCCCGAAGCAGCTTTCTCGACCTGAGTCTGAACGAACGCTTTCATGCATATCATTGCGCGCGGGTAGAAACTCAACGGTTTAGGGTTTAGGGTTTGGAGGGGGCCTTAAAGTGTGAAGCAAGAGGACAGAGTTTCCGGGTTCATGTCTTTACGATTTGGGGTGTAGGGTTTACGGTCTCGGTTCCGAGGTCGGAGGAAGCGGCTTGATCAAGAATCATGTTGTCTGCAGGATCACTCGGCCCGCTTCTGTTTCAGCAAGGTGATGAGATATTTCACCACACTTATAGCTTGACAGCTTCCTAGCATTTACGATTCAGCGGAATCGAAAGGCTAGACACGAGAAGCTGCGGCGAGGCGCATGCGTGCCTGAGAGCAGTTTTTGCGGTTTTTTTGGAGTCTGCAAGAGGGCAACCAACATCCAGAACCCTAAACCCTAAACCCCCTAAACCCTAAAACCCTAAACCGCCAAACCCTAAACCCCCAAACCCTAAACCCCCAAACCCCTAAACCCTAAACAGCTGGCTAGCAGTCCAAGGCCAGCCTCCACCAATTTCTCATGCTCCTGCAGCCTCTTCTCCACCACCTCGGCCTTCCTCTTTTTGCGGCGGCCTTCGCCCGAATGCGCACAGCATGGCACGCGCCGCCGCGCCTACTAATTATCGAGTTTTATAGAGGCCTTAACAATGTCCTCAATAAACTTGTAATATAATGGACCGCAAAACAACTTTGAAATCATGAAAGCCCCTGCATTATTCACCTAGCACTGGTCCAGCAGGTCGCCGCCACCGCACCTTCGCCTTCGCCTTGGCCTTGACGAAGGCGTCGGCTGTGGAAGCTCATCGCAGCATGAAACAAGACCCTAAACTCGAAGACTCCAACCCTATACCCTAAAACTCTAAACCTGAATCCTAAACCCCAACTTCTGAAGCAAACAAGCACTCTACATCGTGGAAAAGCACAGCCCGACAGCTCCTCAAGCCCTTAACTAATCCTAAATCACTCACCCCAAAGCAACGCCTAAACCCTAACCGAGCAGAAAAACGAAAGAGACAAGATCATGAACGGCATAAATGCATGAATCATACAAACAACTATATATGTAAATCAGTACTTATCAAACATACAACCCACAAAACCCCAAACACAAAACAAAACACACGGAAACTGTTTTTGCCCCGTGCCGACTGGACATGGGTAGTTCTCCAAAGTTGTGTCCGTTTTCGGGCCACCAGAACAGCACGGCGCCCCTATCCAAAGGACCTTAAAAAGAGATCCTAATTTAGAGAATTACCCTTATAGTAGGTATCCTGTTTATCTAAGCCCTATAGAAACTCCTATAGATCCCTTTAATGAGCCCTTTAAATGGAGCCCTAATTTAGAGAATTACCCACATTGAGGCCCTGGCTGCTTGGCACACTCCTCGGGATCCAGCCTCGATCTCGGAATACCATCGCTTAGGGCTCCGGTTTAGGGTTTAGGGCTTAGGGTTTGGGGTTTAGGGGTTCAGGGCTTAGGGTTTAGGTCCTATTAGGCCCAATAAAGGAAACTAGAAAATGTCCCAAAGGCCTACCTAGGACTTCAGGGGGGGTGGGCTCGGAAGTTGGATTTCGGGACTTAAGGTGGGCAGAGGCTTATGCAGTAGTAAGTAGTTTCAGTAGGACCGCATTATAGGCGGAAGGAGGGAGACTGTTTCCATTTTCTCAAACTCGACTATGTAAGAGTTGCCCATTTCGGTACAAAGATACCCTACACCCGAAGCTTTGAATCGCAAGTCCGCATCCCGAGGCCCTACCTCAGGCTTCGGGTTCCTTGCTATGAGTTCCTTGTAGTCCTTGAAGAGGTAGGATGTGTGGGCTAAGGTAAGGCCTAAACCCTAAACCCCTACACCCCTAGACCCCTAAGCCCCTAAGCCCCTAAACCCTAAACAAACCCAGAAACCCCTAAACCCTAAACCCTAGACTTAAAGTAAAGCTATGACCATCAACTGGGACTTCGACTGCTCGTCCGCACTAGGCACCGCCTGCCGGCTTCGTGTGGAAGGGTTTAGGGTGTAGGGTTGTTCGGGCTTTGGGGGTTTAGGGATTTAGGGCCTGCAGTCGCGTGTATGAAAGCCCCGACTTAGGTACTGCCCCCATACAGTCATAGTCTAGAATAGGGCTACTATTAAGGTCCTACTATATCTATATTATGATTATTAGTCAGCTCTTACTGAGTGGGGGCCGTACCCAAGCCCCGACCTTGGGGATGCTTCAAAGACTAAACGCAAGATCTATGTGCTGCATCAAGGGCTAGCAGCCGACCGAGCTGGGGAATAATCACAAGAGAGCAGGCACCAAAGATCTTCAAGCATCCCAAAGCAACGCCTCAAGCTGTTATAAAGCCCATAGCAAGGACAGCTTAGACTGTACATATGACGATGCTGGTGGTTTCGAACTATATACTACTTGTACCATGTGCCGCGTGGGTAGGTGTTTGTGTGTGTGTGTGTGTGTCTGTATATGGACGTATGTACGTGTATGTGCGTGAATATATAAGTGTATGCATAAACTTTTCAATTATTAAATACATATATGTATTCATTTATGTCTGTATATCTGCGCTTATGTACTTGCCTTTCTTGTTATTCATGTTGTTGTTATTACAGGTAAAGACGAAACTGTCGGTGGCGTGAACATTTCTCCGACTGCCTGCGCATCCAAATCAAACTTATGCAATACCCTAAACCCTAAACCCTAAACCCTAAACCCTATACTGCAAGGACCAGACCCGGAGAGCCTGATCCAACACGGATACCCCTCCCTAAATCCGAAATCCTCCACCCTGTATAAAACCCTCCAGCATTCATTCTCACCCTCCTCATCGGGTCCCAACCTTTTGAATGCACCCTAATCAAGATTCATGTCAACGGTTCCGAAGCTCCCAGGAATCTTCTTTACCCGGGACTGAGCTTCGGTGTTCATGTCAGAATATCGAGAGCTTGTACGTAAAGCTCCACAATCTTCCAAATGCGGCGCTCGGGTTTCGCGCATTCCGCCTCCCATTAACATTTCTTTTCGTCAACCTTCTCTGCTCTGAAATGTAAAGTTTTGGTTCATAGCTTCGTGGGCCCTTGCATTGGTTGTGAATCGTCCTTCTGCTGGCAACTTACGTTAGGCTCCTTGGAACCTCTACCGTGTAGACTTTATCGGAAAGCCCTACACAAAGCTCCTGACCAAGGATCATGAACCGAGATAAAGCCCCTAACCCTTAAATCTTGAACCTCTAAATCCTGAACATCCCGGAACCCGGAACCCCCACCCCCTATACTGCAAACTCCCACCCCCAAAACCTTAAACTCCAAATCCAGTCTCTCAAAGAGGAAAAGGAGGGACCCTTAATGGGGACCCCTACCCTATAATGGGCTATATAATGGGTATATAATAGCAATATTAAGGGTATATACCTATAGTGAATCCCAGAAAGTTGGAACATCGATTTAGGATGATTCATGCTGGGATTCCCTTTGCTTTACTTTAAGGGCATGAGGCTACTGATGTTCCAACTCTCTAGCTTCTACTATAGGGGTCCCTATAATGTGCCCGTGGAGTCTCGGGATCAGCCTCGCCAGCGGCCTCTGCAACAGCTTCGGCAGCATCCTCCCAAGTCAAGGCTTCAGGGCATGATACGGCTGATGATAGAAATCCTGGGGTTCCTTTACAGGGATCTATAAGGGTACCTTTAAGGGGTTCCCTTAAGGGATCTATAGGGTTTTAGGGTTTAGGGTTGATGATATAAACCCTGCATTACCTTAAGGACCCTAAATTATGGGAATTATGGCATATTCCTCATAATGGGTCATGCAGGATTTATATCATCAACCGTATGGCGCTCCCGGTGTAGCGTGTAGTGTTTACTTGGAGGGTCGGGGGACTTAGTAACTGGTTATTTTAGGGACTTATAACTTATAAGTACCATAACCCCAATTAGGGTCCCTTCTAGTGTACTGATTACTACCTACTTACTAAGTCCACCGACCCTCCAAGTAGGGCTCCTTGTAAGATTTGGATAAGGTTTCTGTAACAGGCTGCTCAGCTTTGCAAGGGTGGTTTCGGATGGGGGCTTTGATATGGGAGTTTCCGAAAAGCAGGGGTACCCTATTTTGGGGTCCTTATAATAAGGATCCTACTATTTAGGGTACTATATTAGGGTCCCCTATTTTCGGAAACTCCCATATTAGGATAGGATTCAGTTCAGGGCTCGATTAAGAGTCGTTACAAACAAGGGATACTATACGGACTTAATTCATGGGCCTGAATCACCAGAATAGAATATTGGGCACTACGAAAATAGGGGGTTCTCCGACAGGTTCCTTCAAAGCGGTTTATATGACGGGTTATTGCACAAGTGCTTCAGGAATACTAAATACTTGGTTTCAGGGAGTCACAATTACTTATAAGAAACATACGGTTTAGGGGTTAGGAATTAGGGTGTAGGGTTTAGGGTGCTTCAACCTTGATGAAGCCCTTGGCAAAAGACCTTCAGCCTGGAAATCCATTCCAAAACCGTGTAAACACATTGACAAAGACCTGCAAAAGAATGAAAACTTGAATGGAATTTGAAAGCTCTATAAGCTACTTTCCCTAACAAAAGTCCTGGGAAACCCAGGAAAAAGCTACAAAACGTTCCAAACATGAAACTCTAACTAAACACCCAAAGCCCTAAACCAAAAATGAAACTCTAACTAAAACCCCTAAGCCCTAAACCCAAAATCAAACTCTAGCTAAAAACCCCTAAACCCAAAACCGCAGATGAAACTCTAGCTAAAACCCCTAAACCTTAACCCCTAATTTCAGAGATTGCCTGTGGCTCGCCCGTCGGCGCTGACACCGCCGCAGGCAGAGCTTGAGCGCCCTTCAACTTCTTGGACTGGCAGGGGAAAGCTGCGATAAAGACAAGAGGGCTTGATGGGTTTAGGCTTTAGGGCTTAGGGGCTTAGCAGTTTAGGGTTTAGGGTTTAGGGCTTAGGGTTTAGGGCTTTAGGGCTTACGGGCTTAGGGTTTAGGGCTTTAGGGTTTAGGGCTTTAGGGCTGTAGGGTTTAAGCCTCTAGCTTTCAGGGCTTAGGGTTTAGAGGTTTAGGGTCGTTGCTGATAAAAATCCTGCATTACCTTAATGACCCTGGACTATGGCAATTATGGCATATTCCTTAATTATGGGTAGTGCAGGATTTATATATCATCAACTCTAGGGTTTAGAGTTTTGGGTTCCTTTGTAAGGGTCTTTGCAGGATGCTTTGCAGGTGTAGGGAGGGGGGCCTTGACAATTAGCACAAGAGCTCACAGAAGAGGAGACTACATCGTCCGAAAAACACCACATGAACAATCCCAAACATGGTCGAATACCAAAAGCTGTACTAGGATTCCAGAAGCCCGGATCCTCAAGACCCTCACGTTTATGCCGTCTTTTGGGTCCCCTGGAAACAGTAACCCTAAACCGTAAAACCTAAACCCAAAGCCCCTGAAGCCCTAAACCCTAGACCCTAAACCCCTAAACCTAACCCCCCCCCCAAAAAAAAAAAACCTTAAACCATAAACCTTTCCAAAAAGAGCTGAGACCAAGACCACCCGTTTCACTTCGAGAGCTTGAGGTGCTCCCTTCTTCATCTGGATGACGAAAGTCACACCTGTGCTCAAGGGTTTCGTGTTCAAGGGTTTAGGGCATTAGGGGTTTTGTAACTTGACAGTTTGACGGCTTGCTTGCTCTGACGTTTCCATGCCAAAACGATCTGTGGCATAATCCTCCTTTCAGCTTCAATACTTCATGGCTCAGGTCTAGTCGTCATAACCCTAAAGGTCCAAAGGACCCAGTAATTAGGTACTTAGGTTTAGGATAGCAGCTACATGAGTTACTGTTTGAGCGGGTATATGATTATTAGGTGCTTGGACCCTTAGGGCAAGGCCAGCTGAACACTAGAGCAAGCTCGTCTTCAAGCTTCAGCTAGGTTAGCCTACCTAGCCCCATCCTACATGTTTTACCATATAAGGCCTGGGTTCGTTATTCCGTGGGCACTGTCACTTGAACAGACAGAGACCCCTTCTGCTCCTCCATGTAGCCAGATTTTCCAATATCCCTTGTATAATTGAAACGCCTACACCTTTGTTCATGAGACTGTGCCCGCAACGCTAAACTGATGTTTTCGAACTCCTGCGCAACCCTTCATAGCCCTTTTAAGCGCTGTCAATGGTCGCTGTGAAGCTCTTCAAACCCCCTCCCGGGTGATCCAAGTAGGTGCCGGGCAGTCGCCTACCTTCAGCCCCTCGAACTGGGACCTTGCCACCGCTTGGCGGAAACTGAACCGCCGGTGTTTCTCGTTCAGCATGAGCAGTGCGAGGCGCATAGGGATAGGGGTTGTAGTGTGTAGGATTTCGGCTTTATTACTTGTGTAGGATGTATGCAGGCTTTAGGAGGCTTCAGGAAGTTTGGGGAGGCAGTTTGCTAGCTGAAGGGTGTGATAACTCGCAAACATGGTCTGGAGTGGTCTTTTTGGGCGGGTCCTTCGTTCGAAATCATCTCCGTCTCAAAATTAGGACTGCTCCCTCGAGGCCAAACCCTAAACAAAGCAACCCAGACACTAAACTAAACATTCAGGCTAGCAAATAGCCGAACACTCGCTCAAAGTTGCTACTAAACCCAGAGGCCTGGCATTTCAACTTACCAGGAATCGGCACAGTACTAGCACAAATAGCACATGCAAGTCGCATCTAATGGCGACAGTAAATCCTACATTGGTCCTCATTCATCAAAACTCCGTTTGCAATCCGCGTAGATCCCATAAAGCGCGAGTGCATCTGCAAGAGAGAACCAGCCCTAACGGTTGATGATGTAAATCCTGCATTACCCATAATGCATAATAAGGAATATACCATGCTTCACATAGTTTAGGGTCTTAAGGTGATGCAGGATTTATATCATCAACCCCAAACCCTAAACCCTAAAACCCCATAGATCCCTTAACGGAACCCCTTAAAGGTACCCTTATAGATCCCTTTGAAGGAACCATTTATATCATCAACCGTAAGCACCGGGAAAAGGCTTCGGACTCATGGAGGAAGACATCGCGGCGGAAGCGTTCGAAGAGGGCGCCACAGTGGATGAAACCGTAGCCTCGCAGTTTCGGCGACCCGAAACCCCCAAACCCCACCTCAGAAATCGGGGTTCGGGTTTAGGGTTTAGAGTTTAAGGCTTAGGGTTTAGGGGGCAACCCTAAAGCCTAAACTTCTACCTTAGCCTACCAAAAACCTACCTTTCTGTAGGTTCTCATTATAGACCCTAATATGGGAATTATACGGGCACTAGAAGCAAGTGGGTTCTGGTGGTTTAAGGTAAACACTACGCAAGAACGCCACAGCGTTTGGCTTCAGGCAACAAGATCCGAACCCAACAAGAAAAAGGTGGGTTCTGCTGGGTTATGTAATGGCCTAAATCATTACCCATACTGTTTTGGGGGGGTCCTTATTATAATTATAGTATAATGGGCCCCAAAACCCTGTTCTAATTGTTAAGGCCCCTATATCTGCAAATCCCTTAGAGAAGCCCTTAAAGGAGCCCTTTACAGGAACCATATTCTGGTTATTAAGGCCCCAACAGTACGTAAGGTACGGTTGATGATGTTAATCCTGCATTACCCACAATAAGGAATAATTAAGGGTCGAGGGTTCAGGGGTTTAGGACTTAAGGTTTAGAAGTTTAGGGTTTAGAAATCAAGGGTCGAGGGTTTAGGGGTTTAGGATTCAAGGTTTAGAGGTTTAGGGTTTAGAGGTTTAAGGTTTAGCGGTTTAGGGGGTTTGGGGGTTTGGCAGGTAGCCTAGTGATTGCCTCAATATAGCGGTCACCCTAAATCGTAAGCTCTGGCAAAGTATACCCCAATTGTGGAACCGTAAACGATAAATCTTTCTACTTCACCGTGATCTAAACTGAAGGGTCGGAACAATTAGCAACAACCCCCTTTAGAGTGTAAAATGCAAGCAAACCCTTTCATAATATACCCCCCCCCCAAAACTCGACTCTAGCTCTTAAGGCCCACTGGGTTGAGGCGGTAACAAGATGTCTGAAACACTACAAGCATATGAACTGCTCTGAGACTTCTACTGCCCCTTTTTTGCATCATAGTGTCGTCTGAATGCCCATGAACCTCTTCTAAACCGGAAAGCCTAAACCTTCAAGCCCACTACGATATAGTACCCTTATAGATCCCTTATAGTAGCCCTTACAGATCCCTTACAGTAGCCTTTATAGACCCCTCTAAAGGCCCCTTCAACTGGGCCCTCTACCATTCATCGGGTTGAAAGACTTGATCTCTCCCAGGAACACCTCCTTCTCGTCCTCATGAGGCAGACCGTCGGGCAAGCGAAGTGATTCCGTGCAGCTGATACGCTTTTAGGGTTTAGGGTTTAGGGTTGGGTTTGGGGTTTAGGGTTTAGGGTATCGGGCTCTACATGGCTAGAAGGCAGGTTTAGGAGTGGCGAGTTTGCGGTTTCGTCTGTAGGCAAGAACGGAATGGAGGGTTCTTGGACCCTACTTCTGCGACTGTCAGCCAACAGTTAAACGAATGTACCTTTACCTTTATCTTTCTGTCCATCTGTACACATATTACATATACGCACCTATATGCTTCTATTCATGTAAACCTCTTCTGGCTTTCGAAGTGCAGGAAGTTGTGGGGTGCGGCCGTTTGGTTGGATCCTAGCTTTGGCATATTGATCGGTGTTTCTTTGTGGGCTATCGAATGAAACAGGTGGACCCTCAGACAGAAGCCCTAAACGTTAAACGCAGAGTCCGACACCCCCAACTTTAAACCGTGGATTGCGATGCTTTCCTGAGAACATCAATGGACCAAGTGAATAAAGTAAGGTTTAAGCAAACCTGGCAAGACAGCCCCAGTTAGGATCCTACTTGACCTACTTATCACCTCCTTTGAAACTTTTGTTAAGCCCCTTGCACCCTAAACCTTACATGCCCTACACACCTGAAGCCCGAAACTCCAAACCTTATACCCATAACCCCAACCCTGTAGCCATAAACCCCAAAGCCGAACTTGTTAACCCTAAACCCTACAACCCCTGACCCCTAACCACCCCAAACTTGAAACCCTGAACCCCAAGCCCTTAAAACACCCATGAAGGTCCAGATTTGAGGAGTTTGCACTGTGGATGCCTTTGGATATGTTGAGTTGGAACTAAAGTAACCACGACTCGTCATATGACTTGTAGCACCACTTGTGGTGCAGAAACTCTTCAAGGGTGTTGAGAACGACCCTAAACCCCAAACCCCAAAAGACTTAAACCCCGCTCATGCAGCCTGCTTTGGTGGCGGCTCAGGGGCAGCCAGTGTCTCTGTTGGCTGGCTGCTACCTCTCCGGCGGCAAAGCTCTCTTCCAAAGTTGGTTTTGAGGGCTTAGGGCTTAGGGCCTGCGCTTCAGGCGTCCCTTGTGTTAACAAACAACACTTTGTTGGTAGCTACTGCCACTCTTTGCCGCAAAATCGAGTATTTGAAGCAAACACGGCTACCTTTTGGCGGGTCACCTATTGCTTGATTAGGACCCTGCAGTAATTGAGCAACCAACGTCCCAACAAAAAACAACAAGAAAAAGCAAAACCAAGAACAACTAGGGTTTACGTATGGGTGTGTTGTAGGGGCCTTGGAACCTATAGTTACAGAAACGGGAGGAAATTCCTTCCCCTTTGCATGCAGATGATGCGAGATAGAAACAGAGCGGTTTACGGATCAGGGATTCGAGTTGTGGCTGTGGCGTGTAGGATTTGGTGCGACGGGGAAGAGCACTGAACGACAGCGCAAGACTATACATTCATAAACAGGTGGATAATAGCACAGCAACCCTGATATAGGAGCCTCAATAATTGTCATAAGCAGGGTTGTGGGACATATCTTACTCTCGCTTACGAGGGACCATGGGGGAATACTATTAGTGATGATTCTTCCGACCTCTTAGAATTACGCTTCAGACTCCAGCCCAGTTCACAACTCCAGTTCCACTTCCCTGGTAGCCCTAAACCCTAAACCCGGCGCACTTCCGTCGGGAGCTTCGCGCAGCTTCGACGCCTGGACGAAATCCCACACTCAGGGCGTTTAAAGGGCCGTGCATCTGGGCCCTAAACCCTAAACCCTGAACGCCTAAACCCTACCCATAGGCCCCGAAGTAGTTCCTTTTTGGGGCTCATATAAAGAATCCTATAAGGTAGTCCCAAAAAGGAACTACTTTGGGGCCTATGGGTAAACCCTACGCATTCGGGGTTTAGAGCCTATTTGGACGAAGTCAGGTTCGCCGGTTTTTAGCTTGAGTTCTGTGAACTCCGCGTGGGGACTGAAGCTCTAAGCTTGAAAAGAGAACCCCCGCAACTCATCGCAAACCCAGAAACCAAAATCCTATACTCCAAGGGTAAAAGGGGGGGACCCTTAATAAGGACCTCTAGGTATATACCCTTAATGTAGCTATTATATACCCATTATATAGCCCATTATAGGGTAGGGGTCCCCATTAAGGGTCCCTCCTTTTCCCCTTTGATATAAGGATGACCCTAAACTCTGAACCCTAAACCCTAAATCCCTAATCCCTAAACCCTAAATCCCTAAATCCCTAAACCCTAAGCCCTAAACCCAGGCTATGCTTGAAGCCCAGGGCCTCCTCAGGCGAGTGACAGGGCACCATACATCCCAAGCCCGGAAGCATCCAAAACCCATGGGCAACCGAAATATTGCAGAAGGGACCTTTCTGTTCTTGGGGGTTCCTTATTATAATTAGAGTATAATGTGCCCCAAAATCCATTATTAAGGCCCCAACAGTATGTAACTGTTGATGATATAAAACCTGCATTGCCTTAAGGACTCTAAGCTATGGGAATTATGGTATTTTCCTTATTATGGGTAATGCAGGATTTATATCATCAACCGTTTCTTGAGAACTGAAAGATTTAGGAGGCCCCCGAAACCCGAATCGATCTATCTGCACCCTGCGACCGAAACTGGAAGCTGCAAGGCCCCCAACGCAAACCCTAAACCTTTGCAGTTTAGGTTTTTAATCTAAAACCTCTCTTCTTAGCTCTTATATATATATATACATATGTATACATATATATGCATACCTACATACCTACATGCATATACATATACATATACATATACATACACCTACACCTACACCTACACCTACACCTACACCCACACCTACACCTACACCTACACCTACACCTATACCTATACCTATACCTATATAAATATATGTAACGCAGGCTTCCCTGTCATTCAAACCTGAAACATAGCATGCCACAATATTCCGAAAGCTTTCCTGTGATCCAAATCCGAAGCCCTGAACCCTAAACCTTATCATCCAAAGCCTTGAGCACCAAACACTACTAACCAGATCTTAAGCCCAAAAACCCTAAACCCTAAATCCTAAGACCTAAACCCTAAACCACTACATCCTAACACCCCAAGCCCCTGAACCCCCAAACCCCAAACCCCAAAACCTAAACCCTAAATCCCTAAATCTTTAACCCCAAGCCCCTAAACCCCAAACCCTAAACCCCATTCTAGTCATACTAATGTGGGAACCTGATTAAGAACCCTTGAGCCTTTACTAGAGTTCCTTGTATGAATGCTACGACTTTGGGGTTGTAGGACACTAGCCGCAAAACCTAAACCCTAAATCCCTAAATCCTAAACCCCAAGCCCCTAAACCCCCAAACCCTAAACCTCATTCTAGTCATACTAGCGGTTCCTACACTATTATAGTACCTTTATAGACCCCTTATAGTAACCCTTACAGACCCCCTTAAAGGAACCCTATAATCCCTAAAACCCTCATTCTAGCCACACTCCATTGAGGACGGCCTGAGGTTTCCCATCGCCTCGGTTTGAAGTTCATTCTGCCTACATCGAGTACGTATTAAAGGGTCTACTGTAGCAGTTCCATAAGGCTTCGGAGATAGGAAGGGTTCAGAGTTTCAAGTTTAGGGTTTAGGGTTGGCTGCAGGTTCGGGTAAGGCTGAAGGTTCAGGGACCGTAGGCAAGATCTGCGGAAACGTCGCATGCGAGTCGCAAAATCCTTCGGACGCAAAATCAGAGCCTAGGTAAACATACCGGCTACGCCAAGACAGGTGCACCGTCAGATGCATCGCAAGGAAGCCCTGTAACGACCCGAATACTTAGACACAAACTCAGTTCTAGGCGCCAAGCTTTAGACTCTGAGCCTGAACCGGAACCCCGTTTAATATTGTGAACAGAATTTGTACCACCAGTTATCAATGTCTGGGTTTGCGTTTGCACCACGATCATGATGAACCCGCAAACTGCAAATTTCGATCCACCAAACGATGACTACTACTTGCGATCGCGATAAGGGCCCGCGCGGCTCTTCACCACATTGAACTGAACCATATCGCCTTAAGGGAGTTTGTAGGGTTTAGGATTCAGTTTACAGGGTTTAGGGTTTCGGATTTTTGCGCTTGGTGTGTTGCCTGCTCGGTTGAGGGGACGGCTGCTTGACTGAAGGGCCGTTTAATTGACACGTTGCGGGAAGTAGACTCTGATTAGTCGCATACCCTGCCAAGTGCCTAATGGTTGATACGCCCTAAACCCTAAACCCTAAACCCTAAACCCTATACTAAGCCCAACTACCGAAGTATTGGGACCCACCCTTCGGCAACTGCCATGCACACATCCCCAGACCCCCCTTTGGAGGATCCAAAAAGTAGATCCCTTAGTGGGGGTTCCTATAAATTACCCTTAGGGTTTAGGGTTTAGGGTTTAGGGTTTAGGGTTTAGTAGTATAGGGCCCCGAATTAGGGGATCTACTTTCTAGATCCTCCCGGGGGTCTGGGTCATTGGAGAGCCTGTCTCTCTTGCAGAAATGCAGGGTCCGTTCCTCTCAAGCTGCGGGACCCCAGCCCTAGTTGTAGAACCTGCATTGCGAGATGATGAGCAGGATACTTAGTAGTTGAAGGACCCCTACTTACTCCTGAACACCCTAAAACCCTGAGCCCGGAAGTACTGGTCTCGTACAATAAGCGGCAAGTAGACGAGAAACCCTACACACCCTACAAAGAAGGCGACACAGCATCCTGAGTCACCGGGTTTAAGCTTGCCCATTACCGTAAGGGTCCAAATCGTATATACTTTAAGCCCAATGTACCTATATAGGGACTACTTTAAGGCCAGCGTATATACTATTTGGGTACATGGACCCTTAGGGTTAAAAGGAGCCAAAACACCAGATGGCTACTGACGCCCAAACTCTGAAACTCAAGCACTATACAAGTAAGCCCTAAACCGCAACCTTTAAGCCCTGAACACCGTAATATAGGGGCCTTTATAATTGCCTGTACTAGTTTGGGGGTTCTTTTACCTATTATGATTATAGTACAATGGGCCCCAAAACCCTACGTATTCTCATTATTAAACCCTAACCCTAAACCCTAAACGCTAAACTATACAAAGTCCTAAACTCCTCGAGGCTCTCACCGACCTTGAAACCTTTCAGCTGTTTTCGATGCAGGAAGACATCTCGACCTCTGGAGCAGCGAGGATCTCAAGCTTTGCATTTAAGTGTGCGGAGGCGGGTGGGAGACAGGGTGGGGGGTTGTGCTTGGAGGGTCTACCATCACTGTCATTGTCACTACATTCCTATGACGGGCTCAAGACCCTCAACACAGGACGACACCTATAGGTTTAGGGTTTCGGGCTTAAGGGTTTTAGGGCTTAGGGTTTAGCCATCGATTCTCAGATCCCTGCCGGGCTTCCACCCGTCACAGAATAGATGAGCCGGATTGGTAGAGGATCCGAGCTAAAAGCCAAGGGTAAAAGGAGGGACCCTTAACAAGGACCCCTAGGTATATACCCTTAACATAGCCATTATATACCGACTATATAGCCCATTATAGGGTAGGGGTCCCCATTAAGGGTCCCTCCTTTTCCCCTTTGATTAAAGCTATAGTCGCGCTGCCTACACCCATGATCTCAACTGTACCCACTGACGAGCGTTCGAAAAAAATAGAAACAACAACAGCCGTGTATGACGCCCATGAACCATTACAGCCCTGAGCGCAAGTACCCATACAAAAACCCCAAACCCTAAAGCCTAGACCCTATATCATAGGTGCCCCGAAGGTCTCTTGATCTTGGGTACCTTGTAGGAGGATGAAGGTGCCTACAACTCACCGGCTTGACCCTGCTCAATTCCATGAGTACACCGGCATTTGTCTAGCTTTGAGCCGGCATTATGTTGTAATTGTCCTGGCAGGATAAGCAAGCACAAGGACACAACACGAAGTTCTGCAGTGGCCGGATGAACCCGGTGAAATCTCTCCGAAACAACTGGTGCGTTCTCTCTGGTCGATGACAGTTGCTGCTGCTCCGATGCAGCTACGTGAAATTCAACACAGTAAGTGCTCCCATTGCCGGTCCGCTCCTGCTCCGCCCCCCGACCCCGTAGTTTTTTTCAGTTTTTGGCCAGTGTTTTTCAGTTTTTGGCCGGTGTCCCTTTGCGCAAATGTTGGCATTAGGCCAGCACGATGCAAGACGAATGTTGGTGCGTAGCCAGCTTTTGCCCAAATACTGGCAGTAAACTGCGGTGCACCTGACTCACACCTGCACCAAACCGTTCCTAAACCGGCCGCACACCCTCACGGCATTTGATGTGCAATGGCCCAACCGAGCCGTGTCCCCGGCCCCTCCCAATTGTGAGTTGGGAGCAAAGGACTGAGGTCGGTGTGCCTATGGGTACAGTGCAGTGGAACATGCATGGAAATGCTTTCTGAAGTAGCTCCCCGGCCAACCGAAAGGAGTCAGGGGAGCCCCCCCCCGCATTGAGTTTTGACAAAGCCTGATACAAAACATTACATTGGGGCCTCGTCAGACAAAGTGCCGGGAAAAGGACAACATAAAGCCAACAGAACGCCGACACAAAGCAGACATGACTACAGACACTGATTCTTCCTACAAGGACCCCAAGTTGAAGAGACCTTCGGTGCGTGTAAGACTATAGACCCTAAACCCTATAAATCCTAAACCATAAACCCACAAAGGGGCCCGGCCGTATTCCTGTGTGATCCGCGTGCCACAGATGAAGCCGTAGCCTTCCAGACTTGTGGTTTCAGGTTCGCGGTTGTTTAGGGTTTACGGTTTAGGCAATATTTTGAATTGGGCCTAGGATTTGGGGTTTAGGGCTTTGCTTTACCGGCCCTTCATACGGCTGGTTGTTTAGGGTTTCGGGTTTAGGGCTTAGGGTTGACGGCTTGGGATATATTCTGAGTTGGGCGGTTGGGTGCAGGACGTGGCATGGTTGGCTGTAGGGTTTACGGGCTGTTGCGGGACTAGGGCGGAGGGTCGTTTAAGTTTACTCAGCCAGAGACTAAACCCTAAACCCAACACAAAAACTCGAGTGAAAACTTTCAAACTCAAGAGAAATACGAGCTACCAGGGCGTCACACACTCCAGACCCAAATCCCAAACTCTAAGCACTAGGGTGCCTAAACCCTAAACTCCTGTACTCCGAAAGTTCTTGTAGACTTTGCTTCAAGCCAAACACCGAAAAAGCAATAGGGCTCGAAGTCTTGAGTCTTGAGCTATGTCGCCCGAGGTCATCCACGTCTTTTGCGGGGGCTTTAAGACTTTAGGTGTATGGTCGCGTAAAGTAGAGTATGGAGTCTTTGGCATAGGGTATTATAGAGTTCTGAGTAGATGAATTGGTATGGTACAATGGAGTATGACGTAGGGCCTATGTAGGGACTTTAAGGCGATACTCTTAACGAGTACTCAGCCACTCTCTGTAGCTACCCACCTCCGTTTCCAAACCAACCGACTCTGTGATCTGGTACTGTTGATGGACAAAATCCTGCATGACCCTAAGGACTCTAAACTATGGGAACTATGGTATATTCCTTATAATAGGTAATGCAGGATTTTGTCCATCAGCAGCCTTCAACTCGTAGCTTTCAGGGTTTAAGGTTTACCTGGACCCTGAGGAACCTGCCGTTTTAGGGTTCCCTAATATGATTTCCTTATAGAAGTCCTTAACAAGGTAGGTTACGTGGGGTTAAGGTAGGGTTTCTTTTCACTTTAAGTGCATCGGACTTTTCGAGGCATCCTGCGCAGCCGGGTCATACGAGTGTGCCCTTTAGGGTTTAGGGTTCGGGCTTCAGGGTTCACGGTTTAGGGTTTGTGGAACAAACCAGTCCCTAAACCCTCAACCCTAAATCCCTAAACCCTAAATCCCTAAACCCTCAACCCTAAATCCCTAAACCAGTCCCCAAACCCTACACCCTGCAAGTTTCACTTATGTCTCGCTCGCAGGTCACTGGCGCTTCGACTCTGCAGCTTGGAGGATCAAAGAAGGCACGTGTCGTGCAGGCCAGTCGTTAGAGCCCTTAGCGCCTCTCTTTATCTGAGCCATACGATACTGCTATCACTGACATCCGAGCCCGAGCTTATCGCTGGCTACCCTTCCCGACGCTACCGCTCGCATGGTAGCGGAGCCCTCGTGAAGAGGGTTCCTGAATCGATCCAGGGAATACCTTGTGGCTCGATTGCGGAGGGTCCGCGGTCGAGATACGATGAGCGGTGAAATTGAGAAGGAAGCGGCGACCGGCCGTTCCAAGGATGGTGTGCCTATCTGGAATGGCGAGGCCAGCAGCTTCGCAGCCTACGAGGAGGCGGCCCTCCTCTGGGAGCAGGGGTTGGTATACAACAAACGGTATACCGCTGCTCCCCGATTGATGGCCGAGTTGACAGGCGCGGCGAAGCGGCTGGTGGCAGGCAAGCCGGCCGAAGGGCTGGCCACACCCGGCGGAGTGAAGCTTCTCCTCGACTACCTTCGGAAGTCATTGGGCAAGCCGCGGGTCAATGAAGTCACAGATTTACTGGGGAAGTACTTCAAGGGCACGCGGCGGCGATCAGGCGAATCAATGAATGACTACATCACTCGAAAGAGCGAAGCCTTTCTTCGAGTGAGCCAGGCCCTTCGACGAGTCCAGCCGTATTACCAACGAGCCAAGCCAGTGTCTGCAGCATGGGACTCCCGCGGCAGGCGCGAGAGTGATCTGGGAGGCTCGTGGGCCTCGTGGAACTGGAGCCGTCAGACTACTGGCAACGATGATGGGGCACCTGGCGATGATGCGGAGGAACCTACCGAAGCAGAGCCCCAGACGGCATCCGAGACTGGCACCGGCTGGACCTCCAGAGATACTTGGGGCAGTTGGCGCCCGTGGCAAGGCAATGGTGGATGGAGCTCTTCCAGCTGGAGCTACTCCTACTACGACCAATGGTCTCCTCAGGCCTGGTCCTGGACCTCAGGTGCTTCCACTCCAAGCACAGCTTCTTGGAAATCCATTGAGGCTGTGGAAGACGAGGGGCTCCTCCCGAGCTTTATCCAAGGATGGTACTTGCTCACGGATGCTGCGCTGGATGCAAATGAGAGGAATCTCGTGACTACAGCGTTGGCTGGAGATTTCACTCCCGCCCGTGTCGCACAGGAGCTGCGAAATCAGTTCTCGGAAGCGGATTTGCGACGGCGCGATGGCTCGCGCCGAGGTCAAGCCTACATGAGCGTTCATGAAGAAGATGAAGGCGGTGCTGATGATGATTGCGGAGAATGGAATGAACCCGAACATCCCGATGATGATGATGAGGATGCCGCCGAGACAGCTTGGGTGGCTGATGTGGAATCGGAGGCCAATCAGGCCTGGGCAGCATTCCAGCAATCCCGCAGGACGCTTAAGGAAGCGCGAATGCGACAGCACTCCAACAAGCTCAACCGGCAATACTACCGGGGTAGCAGTGGCTTCAAATCCAACAATGCTGGACCGAAGAGCGGCAATCGTGATGAACACATGGAGTGCCTCAGGTGCGGACGTCGCGGACATCGTGTCGCCAACTGTCCGGAGCCACCTCTTGCCGCTCGTTCCAGTTCCTCGACTTCCGGAGCAACTACGGCGACCCAACAAGCTCCTTTCGTGTGCTTTGCCGAGGTTCAGTGCCTGCCGGAATACGACAAGATGATCCCCGACGCCACCTCCGAGATTCCGGCGAACTTTGCAGCTTTCGCGGAGACGGGCGGTGATGCTGAGAGCGCTCTGGCAACACTGCCTAGTACAGCGGAAGCAGTGGCCGCTGGTTTCGCAGTGGTGGATGGGGGAGCTACAAAGACAATCGGAAGTGTGGCTGCCATTGAGGCCCTACTTGCTTGCAATGTGCAAAAGCATGGTGAGTCCCGGTTGAGAGAACTTGATCGTGAGAACCAGCCCGTGTTCGGCTTCGGAAACTCAACGGAAAACCAATGCATCAGCACTTGCAAGGTTGGTGTGACAGCGAATGGTGCGCCAGGCAGCGTGCAGATTCACTCGCTAGAATGTGGCAGCGGGCCAATTCTTCTGAGTGTGGACGCACTACGGCGCTTGGGCGCACTGGTTGACTTTCGGAATGACTTGATGGTCCTGACGGCCCTGAACGACCGGAAGATCATTCCTTTGACGCGGTCCGCGTCAGGTCACCAGTTGATCTCTTTGGCAGACGACCTTTTCACCAAGGCCTACGATGCAGCCAGTCCGGTGCCCACTTTGGGCAGTCTTGTCTCACACTAGGGACAACTCCTCCCGTTTTCTGAACCTGACAGGAAAAGGGAGGTTCGCAGTTGTTTGTCAGGAAAGAGTTATGATGGAACTTCTGAAAGTGAGTGTAAAGCGAAAGTTAGTGGATCTGAGCGTAGAGTTCAGTTTGCAACACCGGATGTGAGTGAGCCGACTGCACACCAGAAGTTGTCTGACGTTGATGTGGATGAGACGGGAGACCTAGATCAGGAACATGCACGTGCTTGTGTTGATGGCAGCAATCCTGGTTCAGGTGCACCTGTCTTGTCATCCTTCCTTGCCGCGAATTCCTCGCAACATGGATCGTCTCTCTCGCCCCGAGCTGATCCTTCACCTTCGTGCCCTTGGAGAAGAAGCCCCCGATGGCTGGACCAAGCTCGAGGTGAAGCAACGCATCGCGGAGATTGCGGATGCCAATCCGACCTTGGCAGCCACGCCGAGCGGGAAGACGGATTTGGAAGCGTGGATGTCGCGCTTGAACAAGGCGAGCCGGAAGAAGAGCGATTTGAAGACCTTCTGCGAGCAGGAGGTGAAGGTTGCGATCAACGACTCGGACACCATTGCGGTGATGCAGCGCAAGGCAACGGCGAAGATTATGGAGATCTCCGAGCCCCAGGGCTCCGACTACGTGGGATTCGGGAAGTTGTCGACGAAGACGTACTCCGAGGCCTACCACTTCGATCGGAGCTACTGCGAATGGGTGAAAACTACGGCGAAGGAGGGGGACTGCTGTCCCCGCCTTGCGAGGTTCAGCCGCTGGTTGGACACCATCGAGGAAGCCAAGACCGATCCGCCCCTGGTCCATGTTCCTCGTCCCAAGTCTCGAGGATCCAAGGGCCACACCAAGAATGTCCCGGTGGTCAACGAACCGGGCACCGGGAGTGCATCCTCGGCTCCAGCGGCGCCCACACCCGAGGTGGCGGCGCAGAACCAGATCCTTCTCCAGATGGCGGCAACGATCAAGGACTTGCAGGAGGAGATGTCGCAGATTCGTGCCGAGCGCCCTCGCAAAGTGACTTCCAGCAAGGACTAGGAAGCAGCGATCCGGGAGAATCTCTTCCGGAAGAGGACGTACCAGATGACGGGGTGCCCGCCGGTGAGTGGGATGCGTGTCAGCAGATGTCCTCTACGGCCGCCTCAGCCCTAGCTTATAAGTCCCAAAGCATAATTCCTCAGGCGTTTAATGAGCTCCTTGGCAAGGAACGACCCCGCTTTATGGAAGTGGCCTGTTCTCCGGATAGTGTGTTGAGTCGCATGTTTCAGGCAAAGTTAGGGAATGAGGACAGTGCCATTCGATGCTCCGTATGGAACGGCGCCGATCTTTCGAAGCCCTTGGGACTTCAGCTTGTTTTGGAACAAATCAGGTGCCTGAATCCGTTGCATGTGTGGTTGTCCCCAGACGGTGGTCCCTACTCACCCATGCAACACACGAACCAAAGAACCTCGGAACAAAAGCAACAGTTGTACCACAAGCGTCAGGAAGCTATCAAAGT